ACAAAACATTCGATCATGGATTACAAGAAAAAAAACAAACATTTCGATCATGGATTACAAAAAATTCGATCATGGATTAACAAAAATTCTATCATGGGTTACAAAAAAAAAAAAACAAATTTGATCATGGATTACAAAAAAAAAAAAAACAATTCGATCATGGATTACAAAAAAATTGATCAAGTATTACAAAAAAATCTATCATGGATTAAAATAAAATAAAATAAAATTAAAAAAACCATACGGGACTCGCGGATTCCGTACAGTGAATCGGCGAGTTACTGTACAGAATCGTCCGGTTCTCTCTAGAACCGAACGAATCCCGTTTTTTTCGCCGACTCGATCCGTCCATGGCGATTCCTGAGTCGAACCGGGCGAGTCCGGTTTGACTCGGCGTTTTTTTAAACACTGGTTCATAGACATCCCCATTCAAAGTCAAATGGAGGAGTTTGATGAGATGGCATCCCCTAGCCAAACGGTGGCTTTGATATAGCATCTCCAATTGAGAAAAACAATGATTGTGTGAATCTAGGCCTTCATGAGGTAGTCTTAGCCAAACGGTGGCTTTGATATAGCATCTCCAATTGAGAAAAACGATGATTATGTGAATCTAGGCCTTCATGAGGTAGTCTTTTGTTGTTTGGATTTTCATATTTTATTTGATTTTTTCTTTTCATTAATGCCTTACGACTTGGTGAACAATAATACTCATATACATGACCAAAATTTATAGTCTCTTAGTTGTTTTCTCAACTTGAATAATTTACCAGTGCCATCAAATACAACCCTGTCCCGAATACAAACGATTGGTACCAGTAGAGTTCCTTATGCAAATCAAATATTTTCGAGTGATAAAATAGCTTGTGAGTTTTATTGTAACTTTGCGAGGGATTGTGGTTTTCTAGTTCGAAAAGATAGAAATTATGGAATGGATGGGCAAAGTAGAGGCATTCCAAGAAAGTATTATGTTTGCAATCGTGCTGGTTTTACTAAGCCTAGAAGTGGAATAAATGGTAAAAGGAAGAGAAAAACATTACGAAGTGGGTGTCCAGCACTGATATATATTTGTCAGGAGATGATCTCAGGTATTATGCAATGGAGAGTGGCTTTGTTTAACAATGAGCATAACCATGCATTACTATACCACAATGAACTGCGATACTTACCAGCACATCGTACCATACCAGAAAGCATCAAAGATCGAATTGTAATGGTTTCAAAAGCTGGGGTGTCAGTGAAGAGCATAATGAGATTCTTAGAGTTTGAGTTGTGTTGAACCGGGTCATTTGCCTTTGGACCTAAGAAATTTTCTTGCTTTTATTAGGAATATGGAATGCAAAAATGACGTTTCTGAAGTTCTTATGCTCTGTAAATAATTGAGAAAGAAGGATTTTGATTTTAAATATGAGGTGAAGGTAGACCAATTTGACCATCTTGAGCATATTGCTTGATCAAATGGAACATCGGTTCGATCATACGAACTATATGATGATGTTGTGGTATTTGACACAACCTACCATCTAAATAGCTACAAAATGCCATATGCAATATGCGGTTGGCTTACATAACAATGGAAATACATGTTTCTTTGGAAGTGTTTTATTACGAAATGAAAAGGCACAGTCATTTTCTTGGGCTCTAAAAGTAAGTACTCGAATGATGTTTCTCATAACCTATGCAAAACCATGTCTTATCTCTTGAATTGCTAATATATATGATGCTAACAAAATGTTGCACTTGCATACTTTTTAGTTTCATGAATGGAAAGGCTCCACATCCAATATTGACATATCAGGACATGTCATTAAAAGTCGCAATTGAAAGGGAGTTACCTTGCACCAAACATGCCTTTCGTATTTGCCACATTCATTCCGAGTTACCTAGTTGGTTTAATGGTCCTTTGGGAGATCGATACCAATCTTGGAGACAAGAATTTCATAGACTATGTAATCTCGAGACAATAGATGGTTTTGAAAAGGAATGGTTGCATATGGTCAAAGAATATAACTTGGAATTTGATAACAATATTCAAAATTTGTATTCACATTGCAAGCATTGAGCATTTCCATATTTGAAGAGCTCTTTCTTTGATAGGATGACTACTACTGCTTGTTCAGAGTCAATCAACGCCTTCATTCAAGAATTCGTGAGCGTCCATACACTACTGAAGGGTTTTGTAGAGTAGGTTTACAACATCAATCCATTTCAATTTGGTACTCAATTTCTTACGTCTTTCTATCTCATATTGCCTTAATTTATTTGACTAGAACTTCTTGATTTTCATAATTTTGCAGGTGCCGTTGCTGTTGATTTGAGAGATCAAGTTGGAGAAGAAAAAACAATGGAACACAAGTACTACAACGTGCAACTCCTCCATTACTAGGGTCTAACTCTAGAAGCCTTTTGAGCTACTCTTTGAGCAATCGCAAGGTTACCCTGAATCCTACAAGCATTAAGTAGGCTTCCCAAAACAAAAGCATCCGGTTTCATGGGCATGTTTCTTATCTATTCCTCAGCCTCAACCAAGTGGCCAGCCCTACCCAATATATCAACCATACAGCTGTAGTGCTCAACTTTAGGCTCGATATCATACAGTCATCATCATTGAATCAATATCAAAATATTGGCGACCCTCTTCAACCAAACATCCATGACTACAAGCCGTTAGAACCCCAACAAAAGTAATGGCATCAGCTTTTAGTCCAGTTTTTGCGTCTCTTCAAAGAGCTGTATAGCATTTTGGCCTTGACGACACATCGAGAAACCTCCAATCAAAGAAGTCCAAGTTAAGACATTCTTCTTAGCCATTCCCTTAAAGACCCTCCAAGCACTATCTATCAATCCACATTTTGCATAAAAGTCCACTAATGCTGCACCTAAAAATATATCTACTTCTATCTTTTCCTTTTCGATATGCAAATGAACCCATTTCCCCATCTGTAGAGCCTCCAAATGTGTACAAGCTATTAACAAGCTCATCATTGTCACTTCATATGTTTTCATTTTCAAAACTTGCACATCGCGAAAGAACAAGGCCTCCTTGTAGCCACTATCCCTGATATACCAATTGATCATGGAATTCCATCATTCATCTCATTAAAAATTTTGCAGGCAATAGCTAGAATAAAATTAAGGGAAAATTACTAAAAACACCCCAAATTGTACTTTCTAAACACTTTAACCCCACCTTAATTTTTCCTCACTAAAATTTCTCAAAATTTAGCCAATCTCAAAAAAATTGAAAAAAAAACAAGTTTGCCCTTCCTTTTTTAACCTACCAATTTTACCTCCGGCACGTATGGAATGCACTCTGGAGAATAGTTCACTATTAAATAGGCAGTCCGGCACATGTAAAACGTGCTCCAGCATCTTTAGAATTCCCTCCGACAATTGATGAACTCGCTCCAGCGAATAGTTGACTGTAAAATAGGCACTCCGGCACTTGTAAAACGCACTCCGGCACCATTAGAATGCACTCTGGCATTTAGTGAACTCACTCCAGTGGGTAGTTCACTGTCAAATTAACAACTCCGGCACTTGTGAAGAGCGCTCCGGCATGTGAAGAACATTGAACCGGCAGTTTCCTCCCTGGAAATTTTGCGGTCCGGCGATTCACCGCATCACCCCGGCGATATGCTTCCTAGAAACACAAGCACTCCGACGAATACACTGAAGTAGTCCGGCATAGTTGAATATGGCTACGTCAAATAGTTCGGAGTTTTGGAGCTTCAATTCGGCAATTACGTTCCTAGCGGGTCAGTCCGGTCATGTCTCTGAGCGGTCCAGCAATTTGTTTAATGTGCAGACCGGTGATTTGTAGTATAACTCCGGTAATATTACTATTGGAGTTGGTTCAATCCGGTGTTTTAGATATTCGATCCGGCATATTGTTGTCTCATAAGCACTCCAGTAGTTTAGAAACTCAGTCCGGTGAAAGGTTTATTGGGGTCTGTCAGAAGGATTTGGTCGTACGTTCAAGGTATGGGAAGGGTTGTTTTTGTCAAACAAAATATACCTTTTTCAGTTGAGGGGTATTAGTTAGAAAATATGGTTTTTACCAAAAAGAAATGAGAAAAGATTGGGGTGGGGGTAAAGTGTTTAGAAAGTACAATTTGGGCTGTTTTTAGTAATTTTCCCTAAAATTAAGCTCAATACCATTGCTCTCTATGTATTCATGAACTTGTTTACCCAATTCTAAGTCTCCAGACTTTGTGCAAGCCATCAATACATTCACTAATGCAAATTCATTTGGGCTCGCATTGGTAGAACCCATTTGTCCAAAGAGATCCAAAGCCTCCTCACTCATGTCCATTTCCGCATACAAGGCAATCATGGTAGTCTTTATTGATCATTTTATCAAACACTTTGTGTGCGCTTTCCAAACCATCGCAGTTTGCATACATATTGATTGAGTATTTTGCACATATATATCCTCTTGATAACCCAGTTTGAAGACATGGCAATGGAACATTTTTCCCTCTTGATAAACCCAATCACAAAATCATTTGGAGTTGTCAAGATGTTGGGCCCGTACCTTCCTGGACTTCTTCACCTTTTTCAGTTGGGTCGTGTTCAATTGTTCTGGAATTTGATTCTCTCTCATGACAGTCGCAGGATTGCACTTGTTAAATGTTGCAGAAGTTTTGCAGATGAACAAATGTGTTATTCTCTGATGAATACGCCAGATGATAAAGCATTCTGGTCAACGGGCTATGTTTCTTTTTAAAGGTTAACTCTGTCTCATCAGTTGTTTCTTCTTCTAATTCTCTTGCATCTTTTGTGTTCAACGCAGTGGTGTCCCAATTTTGCGATAACATTCGGCCCTCAGATAGTAGTCGACTGTTATTGAGGAGGGGTTCTTCATCATAGCTCAGCGGAAAATCACAGCATATAGACTTATCAATTGGTAATAGAAACTTTGCAAATAAAGTTGAGAAAACCCAATAAAACATTGGAGGGAGAGAGAGATGGGGAACCCAACTGAAAATCTGGGAGAGAGAGAGATGATGGGTAAGAGAAAACGTCGGAGAGAGAGAGAAAGATGGGTAAGAGAAAGACACAGAGGATAGAAAAACCAAATCAGGCAGGTTGTGTTTTCCGAGAGCTGACACTAAATCCGGCTGGTGCAAGAGTTTCAGGTGTGAAAAGGAGCTGAGGAAGTTTTTGGATACTCAAAATGAGTGGGAGAAGTAAACCCATGCCCCAAAAATAGACTTTTTTAATGCCCCCAAAAGTATTTTTTTAAGGGTGCAATTGACATACGGCCGCCCCCGTAGGTGTAGAGGTAGGGTGCCCTTCAAATTTTATCATGATATATAGTTTTGATGTAAAATGTTATTACGATTATGTCATAATATATTTTTATATCTAATTATAAAATTTTAAATTTAAAAAATGGTTAAAATCAAACAGATCTATAAGCATATGAAAATATTGAAAATTGACGGTGTAGATAATATGTTGTAAAATGCACTATTTCTAAGACTTAAAATCGTTTTATTTTTCATAGTTATACATCACGATGTCGAGATGATCAATCAAAGGGTTTTTTAACATTAAAACTACCTTTTCCAATGGATTTTTGAGTGGCATCCATAGTTCTACATTATAAGGTAGCATCCTTGTATAAACTTTTTCCTTTTTATAATAAACGAGAATGTCCACTACAATTTTCATTGCATCCATTTTGTTGGGAAAATTTATATAAGATTGTAACCTTAAAATGTAGAATTACATATCCACCTCAAAAATCTATCGGAAAGGTTGTTTTAATGATGAAAAACCCTCTATTTGATCATCTCGACATCGAGATGTATGAATATATAAAAATAATGTTCTTGAGTCTTAGAAATGGTGCATCTTGCAACACATTATCTAGACCGTTCATTTTGAAGATTTTCATATGTTTAAAGATCTCCTTGATTTTAACCATTTTTGGAGTTTAAAAATTTCTAATTAGATACGAAAATAGATTTTAAGATAATCATAAGAACTTTTTACAACAAAATTACATATTATGATAAAATTTGGAAGTGCGCCTTAATTGGATTGTTTAAGGTTGCACCCTTATAGAAACCGTACCCATTGCGGTGGTTTTTAAGTCATAATTTGTTGAGTAGCATTCTAAATTGCTCCATCTAT